AACCTTTTTAACAGCAGCCATTTTGACAGGAAATAGTAGGGTACACACAGGTGTTACCAGTGACACTAATAAAGGCTCAGTTCCATTTAGAGCCTTTCCAGTGAGACAACATGCACAATAGCAGCCCCCTGACTCTGTTTGCAGTATCATTAAGACTTGTGTTTACCCTACTATTTCATGTCCAAATTGCTGCTGTGAAACAGGTCTATTTAAATGGGAACTCCACTTATCTAAATGGCAGAGTTGCATTGCATGCGCTGCATCCATTTTGAACCCCTTTTTAAAACTGTCTGTCCTGAGTTTACTAATGTTATAACGGTGCAATGCCTAACCAGTGGAATGCTCTATTAGCACAATGTAACATTACGCTACATTGCTTCTCGTGGGAGCAGCTCCAAGTGTGTGAGTTGATGAGGGAAATTAAGGCATTACCCGTTGCACCTCACCACCCACATTTTCCCAGCTTGTCCTGGGATTTCAACCACAGACCATCCAATCACCCGCCCACTTCCCTGACCTTTAAGCCACCTCTGGGCTCCTTACCTCCCACTCTTTGGGATTATTGAACTCCTTCTTCTCTGTGGATTTTAGAAACTCTTCCAGGCTGACCAGACGATCTTTATTTGCATCCACCTTTGAACACAGAAACGTAATATGCGTCAGTCAAAGCAGAGCACTGATGACTCATGGCATACGATGAAAACAGGAGCAGTGAGATCAAAGTAAATAATTAAGACTCACATTCTTCATGAAATGCTCCCTCATCCTCAGCCTTTCTTCCTCCATCTCCATCATATCATCTTCCTCATTCTTTGGGTCGTAGACCTTCTCCAGCTGGAGGAGAGAAACCAAACAGATGTTAAGCTGCCACAGGGAATGCTGTGCATATCACTGCTGTCAGGTTAAAACTTTCACTTTTAAAAAGTCTGCAGGAACTCAGATGAAACAGCTGTATTTTCAAACAGATGAGCATCCATTTTTGATATTCTGTCATGGCATTTTAAGGGGTTTTCATTCAAGTAAAAGAGAGTTTAAGCAAAATTGCAGATGTACTGTAGGGTTCCTTACCTCTTTAGTGAAGAGAGCCTCCAACTCCTGCTCATCTAAAACATCGTCTTCATTTGTATCTGAACAGAAGAGAAACGATAACTTGAACGTATCATGAAATGGATAAAGGACAGTGGTTAAAAGAAGAGGTGGCACTCACCATGCAGCTTAAAAAATGTTTTGGGGTTGAACTCCTGAGGATCCAGTCCGTCTGTCTCCTCCCAAACTTCCCGTAGCTGAGCAACGCTGCCCTGATTGTGGGGAGAAAGGCAGCAGAAAGAGGAAAAACATGTAAGAGAGCATGATTCGCTTCCCCTTGCTTCTGCAGAAAGCCAACATGGGTGCATTAGTGCCTACCGGAGCATTGACTTTGGGGTGCTGTCGGTGTTTCTCCTTAAGCTCTTGCATTCTCTTCTCCTCTCTCTCCCTCTTCTCCTGGTCCAGGCTCTTCAGGTACTCCCGTCTCTCATGCTCCTTCAGCATCTCGTAGCGTTTGAACTCCTCGTGCCGCTCAGCGTCGTAGTTCTCCAGGTCTTTGGTGGCCTATCATAAAAGTGGGGTCAGATATAATGTAAAGCAAAGATTCTAGGCGTTTGGAACAATTAGTAACAGGTCAGCTATCTTGTTTTGACCTGTAATTGTAGCACCATTGAGTCTGATCAGCGTAATTATGCCTCTGCCTGGAATTCATCACTTACCCACGTTCCATTAAAATCTAATCAGAACATATAAACACACAAACCGCTGGAGGATCTTACCGTTGAGATTAGAAGCTCAAGGTCTTTGGCCTCAAAGGTATTTTGATTGTGGGGATCCAGATGTTCAAACTGCTTCAGCAAGGAGGCGTGGTCCATCTGCAGGGCTTCACGGCAGAGACATGAATTATCAAACACATGCTGTACATATGTCCTGTACTGAATACATCTCTGCAGGCCACATTGCTCTCCCAATACTAACCCTAAGACTAATTTGCATTCATCTGTATTATTTTACAAGTAATGGACAACATTTGTACATATACTGCTTCCATCTGCTCTGCTTGGGCAAATTACAATCTGCAACCATTCACATGAACTGATACTGAGAAATGCACATTGGTAGGTTTTTACTATCTGTGCAATAAGTGATTACAATGAATAATATTGCAAGAATGGCACCTATTTTGCATATAATGACACCTACATTTTCGCATGTCTTAATGTATTTTTATTG